TATTTTTCATTTTTGGTTTTGCTGGACTGGGACTCATATGGCCAAGACTGACTTCTGAATTATAACTATTCCCTTCCCTTGGGCTCCCAAGTGTTGGGATTACAGGTGTGAGCCACCATGCCTGGCTTGCATATTCTTAAAATGTATCTCTTCTTATATGTGTACAGGATTTTCCTCTGGTCATAAGCCTAGTAGGTAAATTACTAGATTCTACAATATATGTGTTTTCTAATTCAGGAAATGATACCAAACCGTTTTGTACCTCTGTAGTCAATGTCTGATAGAGGTGAGATATTTTTCCCTATTTTCTTATGAATTTGCGACTACTGAGATTTCTCCCTAACATTTTCATTCTCTCCCAGTGTTGGGACCTGAACTGAGGTGGGATAGCTGGGACAGATGGATCAGTCACCTGCCTTTACTTTATGTCATTGTTGTCAGGTTAACATTTTCTGTTCCTGACATGAGGCATACAATCCCTGCTGGAGCCACTTCAGGTTTAGTCTCTGAGTTCTCACAGGTCCCACAGCTCTTTGGCATCTCCCCTACCTCACTGACTTCAACATTCTTAGCTTACTGTTCAGTTCTGAGGTAAGTTGAACCTTTGGTGCTCACTGACTTCCAGGTTCCTGCCATCTTTCAGTCTAGAGGTCCTTAACCTAGAGGTGATTGAAACGGTTATATAGACCATCACAGGAAGTTTCAGGAGAGATGCTGGGGTTGGTATAGCATTGTCAGCAGGGGTGGAACCAAGGGGGCCTTCAGGTAGTATATCCTTCTTCATGGAGGCTCTAAGATCTTCTAATTTCTCAGAAAAACAGAAACCTCTTACCCTTTCCATGTCAACAAGTGATCATGTATTTGGAAAAATTTTGTGCAGGCCAAATAGAATAGATTTGACCTGTGCTAGCCCACTGAATGCTCACATGTGAACTTTACCTGGAACCTTAGCTTGTCTGCCTGTTTGTTATTGTCCCATCTCACTGTTGCTGCCAGCACGCCACTCTCTGGAGGGACACTTCATTTAATATCTGTGAACAACGTTATTGGATAACTCTTACATATATAATAATATAACCCATTTCTAGTAATCTGTGTATCACCACGTGGCTGTGGCTTACCAGGAAAAGTTCTGGAATCTATCTCTGACAGGGCTACATGGCTTCTCTCTGCCTCTGCCTCCTTTCTCCCAACATTCAGTTTAGTTTTCCCCGCCTATCTAATTTCTGCCTTATCAGTCCAAGCCAGTTTCTTTATTCATTAACCAATAAAAGCAACACATATACAGAAGGACCTCCCACACCAAAAGTCCTTGTAATACAGGTCTTTAACTTGTATATTGAGCAATCCCTGCATCTCTGGGATGATGCCTACTTGATAATGGTAGATAGTATTGTTTTCGGATTTGGTTTGCAAGTATTTTATTGAGTTTTGTGCATCTATGTTCATAAGAGAAATAGTCTTTAATTTCAAGTTGTCTGATATGCAAGTCATGTGGGGGAACATATGATAACTCAGCCTTGGTGCTTCTAGAAAAGGTTGGTGCTTGTTTTGGTTACTGTAGTAAAAAGATAAATGCTATGAAGAGGGACTTTGTTTAAAAATGTTGGGAAGGTAAGTATGCCCAAAAGTCAGTTTTTGCCTGTTTGAGTATAAGCCAGAAGACAAACTAATCCTTTCTTCTCTAAGTTGTTTCTGGTTATGGTGTTTGTAACAGCAATAGAAAGCCAAAAAGGACAAATATCATAGGAGAGGATGGAAGAGGTGGAGGATAAGAGTCTGTTGCTGTTGGGTGAAGCCAGGTGCCTCTAGGAAATGAATCAGATTTGTAACTCAATGAACTTATAGGTGGAGGGAGAATCAAGCAAAACTTTGTCCTGAGAATGATTATGAAAGAGGTATAAAAATCCACATAGTGATAGTAAAGAGGATGGACCCTAAGGTGAGAAGTTCTCTGTGGAAACTGTGTGTGAATGTCACTCTCTCTCTCTCTCTCTCTCTCTCTCTCTCTCTCTCTCTC